TTGTCGATCAAAATAGAGACCCCATTGGAGAAGGAAGGAGTGGAGGAAACGAAACATTTCCAGGCGAGTGGGTGTGAACTGGGTGGGGTAAGAAGAAGGGCCTCCATTGAAGCTGCAAAGGCCAAAGGGGGAGAGAAATTGACTGCAAAACTCGAAATTGTGTTGGAAAGAAGCTGCTCCTCCCTCGCTTTTTGTAGCTTGGCTGCGGTTAAGGTACAGGGGAGCCGAAACGAAGCATCAATGGGCAAATGTTTGGAATTGGGTTCTTCAATTTCACCAATTACAAAAAGGGAAATTTGCGTTATCAGCCGTATTTATACCATGGCCAAATGTATGATCAAATTCATATACCAAGATTTCCGTTTGTTTGGTTAGTTTCTTTTCTTCGTTGTGTTTATAATTATTTCTGGTTAAGAGCATATTTGTGAGAAAGAAATTCATAATTTCTACCAAATTTTTCTTTTTGTAAATTTGACGGAATTGGGTCACAGTCTCACAGATTCACTGTGGCGGCCTCCAATAATTTCAATTCATATTTAAAAATTAAAATAGGAACACATCACATAAAAACACCCATTATATTTAATTTTTTCAAAGGAAGAAGATGGGATGGGAGAATAAAATCTTTGCCCCACCACACATTAACTCGATTTCTTTTTTTTTTTTTTTGGTCTTTTAAATATTACCTCACATTTCACAACCTATAGCATGTTTTTTTAGTGTATCGTGTATGTGGCTGTGCGTTTGCGACACTTGCTTTCCCATGTTATTTTCAAGAAAATGATATTTGTAAAAAATGTATATATTTTTATTTTTTAGTGTCTGATCGTGACATAAAATTATTGAAAATTTACTTGAATTTAATTTGACTTCTTGAAATAAATTCATTATCTCGAGAATATTAGGAAATCAACCTCTTGAATTCTCAATTTCTATCCTAGAATTTTGTTGGGAACATATTAAGTGAAAAAATTGGTTTATTATTTTGAAAATATCAATGAATGACTTTAAGAAATTAAAAATTACTTTAAAAAATTGCCTTTTAGTGAAAATATTTTTTTTATTTGAACTTATTTTTAAAACAATCATTTTTTTTATAAAAGAAAAATTAAAAAGGAGATGATTTTTGTTAAACATTCTTTTTATTCTTTTGAAAACAAATTTTATTATCCTAAAAATATCTCATAATCCTCAACATTATTGAAAATTTGGTATCCCAATAATTCAATTTCGAGTAAAAAATGTTATTTATTTTAAAAAGGTTCTTTAAAGGTTAGATTTCATTTTCTAATTTCACTCGTTTTAAATTGTCGGCTTCGTATCGCTAATTTTGTACTTCATCTATTAAATGCAACTCTCTCTCATATTTAATTTTTTTTCTCAATGTTTATCATTGCTTTCACAATATTTTTATCATTTTCATCTTCTCAACCGTGGAGTTGGGTTGAAATTGAATACCAAATAAGAGTGTTATTTGCTGCAATAACCCAGATCAAGGTAGATTCCAAGAACTTCCTCCAACGTGAACAAAAATGTTATGCTGTAATTTATAAATATAACACAAACGCATTCGCAAATTCATGTTTCCATGATAGTTTTTAAACAATTATACTTGAAAGTTTGACACCACTTTGAAGACAGCAATTGAACCTCACTCGTAATTCTGAAAGCATGCATTAATGTTCCAACGAGGACTGGAATCATTTAAGAAATGCTTTTATGGGAAAGTAAAACGACAAAGAACTTCATTTTCAAAGGAAGTCGAAACACTATAGGGTAATACTAGAGGTTATTACTTCATTGGTAGCTCAACACATGTACTCTTTACCTGCTTATGCATTCATAGCACAAGACTTTACTACTCAAACTGCGTTATATACCATCACTTAGTAAGACATACAGCAATAATACTTAGTAAGACAGAAGAACAAACCAATTCACAAAAATTGTTTTCAGCTTCCTGATTTCTCTGGAAACACAGTTGCAAGCACTGACGCTAGTTCAAGACCCAAATTGGCAAGTTCAGAAATTTCAGAGAGTTGGTCAAAGTTCATATTTGTACCACTGTTAACTGCGGTGCTAAGTTCAAATTTCAGAAACTTGTGGTGCCAAGTGTTTGTGAGAGATTGAAATCTTGCCATCAACTAGAACATCTAAAAGAGTTCAAAAGTAAAGTTGATCTTGTACCCGTTTCCACACAATTCAAACAACCACTTTTATCAACTTACTATCTCAATGTTATCCCGTAAAGTATACCAATGGAAATAGCTAAAGTATACTACGAGTATAACTGGAAAATATAAAACTTAACATAATTAGCATTATCAATTCAAAGTTCAAACTATGGAACATGCTGACCAACTTTGCAAATGAGATCTTATCCTTTTGCCTTCCCTAATGAACACAAGTACCCGAAAACCAATACACACAGCAAAGTATTAGCATGAAAGACAGAAAACAAAGAAGCCCAAACCTTTATCGCGACAGATATTTGTTGTTTGCTACAAGAATTATATCATCGACGAGTTCTCTCCAAATTCAAAAAGTCTCTTCACCGGCTTGCTTAACAGCTACACCATCTGCAAAATGTTCTATCTCTTTCGCAATCACTCTCTCATCACGATACAATGCTTGCTCCATAGATTTTTCCTCATTTGGCTGCACCCCACAAAACTTAACCTGTATGAAACATGTGGCAGATAATGAAAAACCAAGAATCCACACCTCATCACATACAAGATTAATCAATAAACCAAGAGAATATAAAGCAAGGCACCCATTTGAAGGAGAAAAGAATGATGTTAAGACAAAATGAAAGCAAAATCCATTCCTACACTAGAGAATAGAGATAGAGACCAAAAGAGCTCTCACCTGAGGATAAACCAAGTTGTAGCGATGGAGGCAAAGAGTTCCGGGCGATCAGTGGGTGCGGAGTGGTTGTGGAAAGAAGAAAGGCCTCCTCCATTTCTGATTACAATTTGCAGCAGAGGAGACTGGAGACGGGAATTGAATTGGGTCGATTTCTGTTGCAGTTCGGATTTGTGGCGAGAATGGATTTAGGGTTTAAATAGAAGATCTCAACCGCGAACATCTTCTCTCCACTCAGGGCTCTTATTGGGCCGGCCCATTCACTATTGAATATTGATGGCCCACTCAAAAACAAAGGGTAACAAGTAATTACACACATACTTATTGACTTATATTATAACTCCCTTTACATGCCAATATTACAATAGTGTCCAAAAATATATTGAATTTTCATTTTTGTCCCTTGGCTCTATGTTTAATGTAAAAATAGTGGAGTTATTTTTTCCTTTTAATATTATTAAAATATATCGATCTCTACCCATTAATACTTTATAGCCAAAGCATTTTAGACACTATTATTGTTGCACTCAAAACATTAATTATTTTTATTTGTTCTATCAACCTTAACGTAACTCAATTAAGTTAAAGTATATATCTTAATCAAAAGATCACAAGTTCTAACCTGTGTCATGTTGTTATATTAAAATTTGAAATTATTTCTAACCTGGCACTGTCAAAAATATTTTACATTAAACAATTTCTATAACTATAACTATTGTTACCATATGTATGGAGATTTTCCTTCTTTCAATCTTATTTGGCCATTTAAATTACAAAATCTATATTCATATCTTTAAATCTTTCTTTTTTTCCTCTTACGAGTTTATTTTTTACCTATACGAGCATGAGTCACCTCTTCCGAGCAACACAAACAATTTACTGCACTTTCGAATGCAACAGGTCAATCTCATCTAAAGAAAGCGATAAATTTAATCTTTTGTATCGATCTTTAACAAACTCGAATGATTCATTTAAACACAAATAAGCTAAAAAAGCAAAGTGGTTATAGTAAACCGCTTGCATTACTTTATTAACAATATATATGTAGATGGTTGGCAACCGTGCCGCCATTACAATACAAGTAGAAGCAACTCCATCTCACTAACTTGGATCCCCACTTATTCCAACATCAACACCAACAACACAGTAACTAAAATTAAACCACAAACCCATCTCATCTACCGTTTCAATAGAAATTGAGAGGCACCATCACCACTAATCACTTGATATCTATACCCAAGCTTCCTTGCACTTTTATGAAATTCATCCATCTCTGATTTTTTCACCTGAATTCCAACCAATACATCTGAATTGATTATACCCTGTTCAACAACAAAACACACGAATTAATACCCAAATGGCATCATCCATCAAAGCTGAAAAAAGTATCTCAAAAGTCAGCAACTTGGTTTTATACCTTCTGTTGATGGTGAAGCAAAGAAATGTTCCAGCGAGGGCTGAAATGGCTCAAGAAACGCCTCAGAGCGCCGGGCATTTCTGGGAAGTTAAAACGACAGAGAACTTCATCTTCAATATCTGATCTTCCTCCAATCTGAAAACAACCATGTGTAAGTTTGTGTATGTACATTTCCTGCTTGGAGATTAAATCAAAGCAGTTGTTTTGGGCATTTTCCAGTTTACCAGGTAACGGAAGTGATCCTTAAGAGCAGGATTGTCTGAGAAATCGTGAGTTTCGAATTGAGAAGATTTCAACCGCTTCACCACGTCACCAGACCCCGATCCATGAAGCCTGCATAGTATGGTTGCAAGAGGTGCAAACAAAGTCTCACGTTTGTATATAAGAAATAACAATTATCTCTATCACAAGACCCTTTGGGGTGAAACCAAAAATAAAACATATCCGAAGCAGACCATCGTAGTACTCACGACGACAGACGTCGAGGACTCGAATTTAAACCATCCGTGCAACGGCCATCGTGTACCCCACTCACAACAACAGAAAGGTTGCGAGGGGGGTACAGCGATGCGTGATGCCCAGACAGCCGTGCTCTCGGCCACAACTTGCATTGCATTCAAAGACTTGGTGGCATACTACCAAAACAGAGAAAAAAAAAAGCACCAATACTTTGACAAACACTTACGAGTAAAGCACAACAGCCTCTTTGTCAGAGTTATATCTGTAGGAGAGTGAATTGATGTTCTGTTCCAACTGCAAATCCAAATTCACCCAATTAACACAATCAATTAACTAATTAAGAATGGCATTAAGTTTTATTTTTGTTGTTGTTGTTAGAGTAAGAGCAAAATGAACAAACCAGATCAGCAAGTGCTTTTAAGCTTCCGGGTTTCTCTGGCAATTTAGTCACAAGCAGAGACTCTGTTCCAGCCAAATTGGCACGTTCAACAATTTCAGGCAGTTGGTCGAAGTTCATATTTGCACCACTGGTTACGGCCACAATATTTACTCCCTTGATATCATAATATTTGCAGTATGCCTTGACTGCAGCAATTGAAATAGCACCTGAAGGTTCCAAGATGCTCCTCTCGTCGTTGAACATATCCTATTAATTATCACAACAAATATCACCGATCTTAATTGTACATGAAAAAAGACAGGAATGATGAAAGAATTACGAACCTTTATTGCTTCACATATGTCGTCTTGGGTAATAGTAATTACATCATCAAGGAGTTCTCTACAAATACGGAAGGTCTCATTTCCAGCTTGTTGAACAGCTACACCGTCTGCAAAATGTGAGATATCTGTCACATTCACAATCTTATCAAGATGCAATGCTTGCGCCATGGAGTTTTGGTCATTTGGCTCCACCCCGAAGATCTTTACCTGTATGAAACATGCCACGTTAACAAAAATGTGCAAACAAAGTCTCATATTGGTTAGAGAAGAGAGTGATCCATGGTATATGGATGAGGACAATTATTTCCATTGGTACGAGGTCTTTTGGGTAAAACCAAAAGAAAAACTGTGAGAGTTATGTCAAGAGAAAACAGTATCCTACTATTGTAGAGATACTTGGATACCGTTGTTTTTAACACAATGAATAATTAATGAGTGGCAGAGCAGAGTAGAGAGGTTACCTCTGGATGAACCAGCTTGTAGTAAGAGACAATACCAGCGACGATACCGCCACCCCCAACTGGCACAAAGATTGCATGTATGTTGCCCCTCATTTGACGAGCAATTTCCATCCCAATCGTACCCTGCCCAGCTATAACTAATTCGTCATCATAAGGAGGTATGAAAGGTAAGCCTTCGTCGACGCTCCGTTGTAGTGCATGTTGTTGTGCTTCGTCGAAACTCTCACCGTAGGATTCAACAATTCCACCCAGTCTCTCAACTGCTTCTTTCTGTGATGTTACAAGTTCAAGTTCACATTTTAGGTAAGGGAGGGGTGGAGTGAAGGTGAAGGTGAAGGTGAAATTACCTTAATTGGGGGGGCAGATTTAGGCATCACTATGTAAGCTTTACACTTCAATCGATTACCAGATAATGCAACCCCTTGGGCATGATTTCCAGCTGATGCGCAGATAACCCCCTTTTCCCGTTCTTCTGGTGTAAGTTGGGCAATTTTATTATAAGCTCCTCGGAGCTTGAACGAGAATACCTACAACACAACTCCCAGAATAATTACAACCCCATGCACAAAAGGCCTTGTACTTAAATTACATTAACTCACCACTACTGCTGCCAAAGTAAGTATAGTTTAGCGGTGATTGACATATATTTGTGTCACTCCATTTTGGTTTTAGTTTGTCTAATTTACCATTGAAAAGTTTAATCGGTATCCAATTTTTGTATGTAACAGTTAAGTTTTTGCTCTCAAGACCATGATACTTTTGAGATTGATAAATAAATGGAATAAAGGTAATCTTAGTTTAAGACCGTTTTTGTTCTTAATTTTCTATTTTTAAAAACTATGGTGGCGTGTCTTTTCATGATACATTCAACTTGGTAGCAAATTTTAAAAGCACAATTACCAAATTTTAGAAACTTCCTTTTTTTAGTTTTCCTTTCTTTGTAAGAATACCATTTCGAAATTTAATTTTCAAAATCAAAAAACAAGAGAGCAAAATAGTTATGGAAAGAGCCCAACATTATCTGTTGCGTGTCTTCCCTCTTGAGCCAAAGATTGATCCCCAGTTGACTGGACAAGAGGGGGGCGAGCTGCAAGGGCGTTTCAACGGCCACATCATAGACTTCGGAACCCAAAATTTTGGTCAAATACTTCATTTGTTTGGTTTGATCAATTTCCTCGGGAGGGGGCTTGGGCTGTCTATGCCCGATGGAGCCAGAGTCCCATTGCACATCCTTCCAACTCACCTCAGGGACTTCACCCTCCTTGGATGCTGTCACGGCTGCAGCCGAGACATCCACCACGACATTGGCGGAGCTAGTCTTGTCGGTCTGTCGTTTCGAAACCGACGCCACGACCGACAGTGACAGTTTCCCAACCCCAACGGATCGAATTGGTATGGTTCTAATTCGATCATTGGATTTGGCTAAAGAGTGTAACGAGGAGAGCGAAGAGTCTCGACCGATGTCGGTCAGTGGGTGAGGACTGGCTGTGGAAAGAAGAAGGGCTTCCATTAGTATAGTGTAGTGAGGGGTTGGCTAATTGGTTGTGTTGTGGTGTGAAGCCTCTGGCGGGAATGGTGGGTTTAAATACACAAACTCAACGTGAACCTTTCGCTCTAACAACGCTACAACTGGGAACCACTTCCCTTATTGGGCCGGGCCTTCAATTATTGACCCCAAAAAAACGTGACTATATTTAAATTATTTATTCAATCCAACTTTATCGTTCTAGATAATGAGTATGATATCTTAATTATAGAGTTATTCTCACATTGTCATATTCAAATTCTTTTTAATTCTGAAGTTGTCTTATTTAAATTTCACTTTTTATGTATGTATGTTTTTTGATACAACACGTAGAGGTGAGGGATTGAACCCACAATCTCTTGGGTGGAGATATATGTCATTTACTTGTCGAATATTTACCTTATATTATTGAACTAAGAAAAATCAATATATATATGGGTTCAACATTGAAATTTTATTGATATTTATATCAATTTTTTATCCAATCGAAACATGGACATATCTATTTACCTTTAATATCTTAGAGCAAATATAATTTTATTATTGTACTCATGATTATTGTTTTAATAAATTGAACCATGAGGCCAAACCGAGCATAGCTCAAGTGATTAAGGCACTTATCGCTGACTAAGAGACCATGAGTTTAAATTTCCACCCCACATGTATTATCAAAACAATAAATTGAACCATGATTTTTTATTTCAACTTCCCTTTTCTTTGTATCTATGCATAAAGGTCTTTTTTTAGAAATTAAACATTAAATAGTTAAGAAGAAAAAGAATAAACAAACCCAAGAAAATAAAAGCAGCAAGCTTCACAAAAGGAAAAGGAAAAGGAAGTCGTCTTCTTTATTTTTTCCTCTGAAAACATGATAAAGATTACCGTAGAAAGAAAATATAATATTTCATTAAAAATATAAAACTTGTATTTTCTTTAATAAAACCTTGCTTGAATGTTACGCATGTAGCAGCAGATTTCATCACTTCATTATCTTTGCGAGACAATTAGGGAAGATAAAGATTAAATTAGAAAAAAACAAAAACAAAAGGAATCCATGTGATGATTAGTGATGCATCTTGATTCCTTAAACATATTAAGGAATAAAATAGGTCATATACTTCCAATGCGTGACAAACACTTATTTGATCTTTTTAATAATTACTCTACCTCTTTTAAATCAAATGATGGAAGAATATAGGGATATGAAATAGCTATTTTAATTAATTATTTATTTTTTAATTAAGTAATGAAATGCCAGGAAAAAGAAAATGGCATTAACTCCGAGACGTTACTAACACTCTTTCGATATTTCAAAGAGATATACTTAATCATCACGATAGGGAAAGAAGACCCGACGATTAGCATGATATAAGATAAGGGAGGGCCGTAAAAACTAGTGCAACGGTGTACAATTATCGAAGGAGAAGAAGAATGAGAAAAGAAGAAAAGAGAGAGAAATCTCACTTAATCCAAAGAGAAACTATACAAATTTATCAATTCACTAAAAAAAAATCATATCAACAAATTTAGTCGGGTGTCAAACCGAGCATAGCTCAAGTGGTTAAGGCACATATTATGACCAAAAGGTCATGAGTTCGAACCCACACTCCCACATGTTGTATTCAGAAGAAAAAAAACAAATTTAGTCTTCAAACTTTTTGACTTAAAATATCTCTTTTATGAGACCTTAGATCAAATAGACATCCAATAATAACTAAAAGGCGTTGGAGATGCCTTAAACTCATCTGGAGTTGGAGAAGGAAAAAAAACTTTCTCACACTCATGTAACATCAAAGTACTGTAGAAGAAAAAATTGCAAAAATCAAGCTTACTTTAGTTAATTGTCGTAACTGTTAGTGAAATTGATAGCTAACAATCACACTAACAGTTACAACAATTAAGTAAACTCGATTTTAGTGATTACTCTTAATAAATATCTTGACTAGTTGAGCTATGTTTAAATCGACATATAAGTAATATCTTGACCCATTTATAACTTATTTAAAAATAATTGAATGTTTTATCTATTGATTGCTCTTTTTTTTATGATCTTTTTTTTTTAATTTTCATAACTATCCATATCAAAATTTTTATCCACACCTAATGTGCATCTATATTTATTTCRGTTWTCTATCATATTTTTACTTAAAACTTCTTTCAATAACTCTAAAATTAACCACTAACCTAAATACAGTTCAACTATTTAAAAATATCTCAAGTATGAAATCGTGAGTTCGAATCCATATCTTAGTCACGGATTCTTTGGATATCCTTGTGAGCTGAGTGAAAGGATCAACGGAAGCAAATTTAAAATTCATATCTTTGGAATTGGTCCCAAGATAAGAGCGAAGAAAGTTTATAATATTTTAACCTATCTCTTATAAACTCGTGCCATGTGRGGACAACAGTATGATTTGGAAGCTTCTGCGACGCGGAGAGAATCCTCCATTATATCTACGGCTCATATTTGTTTTCTATTGATTCCACAACACCATGTGAAAAATGCTCTCTCATTATAAAATATTCTTTTTACTCAATTTTTAAATTGTAAATTTGATTAGTATTGGTTGATGATTCATGACAATTTATGAACGTTTGTTGTTATATTTCCAATGTAATTTCTCTTTTAATTAAAAAAAAATCCTGTCCTTATTTTGTTTAACTAAATAATTAAATATTATCTCTTTTTAAAATTTAAAATTTAAAATTTCTTTATTTTAAAAAGGTCTACATTAAAATTTAAATTCCCACGGCTATAAACTTTACAGTTGTGTACCATTAAATAAAAAGGTGAAGCAATCAGGTCTACATTTTTGGGACTAGGTTGAAAGTGATTTTGCTATATTTTGTTTTTATCTGAGATTTTTTTAGTTCAATAAATAATATAGCGAACAATTATTTTATCACCTATGCTTGATATATGTTTGAGAATATTATTGCACTCTTAATTTATTTAGTTTTTTTTTCAATTTTCAAAATTAATAAAAAGTTTTCGTGTGTGTGTGTGTTTTTTTTAAATCAGATGGCAATTTGGAGGAAATTCTTTTGCGGGATAGGGTTAGGAGAATGAATTTCCTACAACATCATCCAACTCCATTATTCTTAATGTTTTTATAATTATTTATATTAACTATCAATGATTTAAAGAAGTAATTAATCATCTAAACTAGAAAAAAAAAAGTAATTGTAATATTTTTAGAACTTAAATCTTCGAGAATCATACCAATGGAAGGTTATATTTGAATACAAGATCATGATCTGAYAAATATTTTACATTCGGCAACAAAATTATTATTAAACAAATTTTGTGTTTTTTTTTCCATAAGAACAAAAAAACAATACTAAACATTTAAAAAAATAATAAAAATAGTAATGAATAGGGACAATATCAACTCTTACCCCAAACTTGATTAAGTTTATTAACTTTTTTTACCATAAAATTTCAATTTCAATCAAATTATCCCTTAGACTTGGATACCTATAGCAACTTTCATTTATTAAACTTTAAAAAATGTTGCACTTTTTAACGTGTGAAGAATCGTTGAAAAAAATATTAACGCACACGTAGTATGACATTGATAGAATTCAAATAAAAACAACAACATAGTTGATTTTTTTAATTGAAATTTGTAAGTTTTGAATAAGTTATTCAATTGTCAATTTTGTTTATGAATTAAACTTTTTTTAGTACGAGTGTGAATGGGGGATCGAAACTCACAACCTCCTTGTTAGAGATATACGTTAATTACCGTTGAGTTAGGTTTATTTTTTGCATTAAAGATATACGTTAATTACCGTTGAGTTAGGTTTATTTTTTGCATTAGATTAATTAAATTTAATTTTTGTAAAGTTTGATTTTTATTAAATTATAAGTTAGCATGTGAATTACTAAATTTAAACTGAAAACTAATACAATTAAAAAATGTATTTTTGTTACGGATGATTTATGAATAAGATAAGGTTGGTATAATTAGGAGATGGGTGCGGTGCCGTGCAGCCAGACAAGACAACTGCATAAAATTGGAAACTTCCCCGCTAGATTATTTTCCTTCTCCAATTAAATCAAAGCGTCCACGTGGTTTTCTTTTGCTCTATTGGCACCGTTGGACCACACATGTCACTAATTTGTTGGTTGTTTGTCTCGGCCCTTGGTCCCGCCCCTCCTCATTACCCAATTCATAATTTTGTCCCYATAAATTATTGGAGAAGGCTGCCACAATTTTACATCCAAGTCACATGTTTGTTTTTTTCTAATAATTTGGTCTTATATCTTTGTTTCCAAGGTGAAATCCAGTTTTATTTGTTTTGTAACATATGATGCTAAAACCACGTGGAAAAATGTCCTTAAGAGGATATTTTATCTTACGTGAAACTTTTTGGACATTTATTTTCATTCGTTAACTTTAATTGGATGTGCATTGGGCTCGAACCTCGAGCCTTCTCGACTTTGGATACCATTAAATTGATATAAAAATTGTGTACAACATATAAAAAAATTGGCTAAATAAAATTTTAGATAGTATTTTAGTGTTGGAATGATTTTAAATTATCAAGATTTATGTGGTTAAAAATTAAAATGATCCTGTCATAAGTAAAATCAGATTTTTTTCTTTAATTTTATAATATTGAATCTGACACAGTCATGGTTAGTTTTAAATATGCATCGACATGTTGATATTTCTATCGACATGTTCATGTTTTAATGGGTTCGATATCGACATATGGGATTAAAGCAACATTTCTATCGTAGTATAAAAAAATCGAYAATATATGAAAAATATCAACAAAATGTCACTATTATATACATAATATTAATATTAATTATTTTTTAACTCATTTAGAAATATGAAAATGTTTATTTGTTAATTTAAATACTTTTTATAATTTTATAATTTTATAATTTCTATAATTTTTACATAAATATCCATCGATATTGACGTGTTGTCGATATTTCCATAAAAATATTGACATTTAAAATCTTGTACACAATACACTTTTTTTTTTTTCTTCTCGTGAGTTTTATAAAGTTTTGATGGTCCCAGTAGATTTGATAGATACGTGTGGCTGCCTTGATTTATTGGTTACATTGAACCTGACGTGATGTATGCCTTTTTTATGCAATGAG